GCTCTGCCCGCTTGGGGTGCTGGCACTGGGAGGGGGGACCCCTTGGAGTTCGGGGTGCTGGTGACAGGGTAAGGATCCTTTTGGAGGTTGGGATGCTGCTGGTGGGGTTGGGAATCCTTTCAGAAGTTGGGGTGCTGCTGGTGGGATGGGGATCCCCTCAGAGGTCAGGGTGCTGCTGACAGGGTGGGGACCCCCTCGGAGGTTGGGGTGATGCTGGCAGGATGGGAATCCCCTTGGAGGTATGGGAATCCCATCAGAGGTTGGGGTGCTGATGACAGGATGGGGACCCCCTCAGAGTTTGAGGTGTTTCTGGCAGGGTGGGCACCCCCTCAGAGGTTGGGGTGCTGCTGGTGGGATGGGGACCCCCCACTCACCTGCTCCGGGGAGCACGCCGCCCGGAAAAGCTCCAGGAATCCCAGCACCTGCCAGGCAAGAGGAATCCAGGGATGAGGGCCCGGGTACAGTGGTTTCCAGCCCTGGCCCCTGGCTTTGGGGCCGTGCACCTACCTGGTATTTTAGGGGGTTTCCCTGCCGCGCCAACCCCGGGCTGCACCGCGCCCGGTACCACAGCACCTGCAGGCAGCAGAGACCCCTGAGCCCGGGCACCGGCTCCTGCCCACCCCGGCGGGCACGGCGACAGGTCTGCCCCAGGCTTGGCTATGCTGGGGACGAGGGGTGTTTCCTACCTGTGGAGACCCCGAGGCCGCCAGGACCACCAGGACCCGCTGAGCTGCGGGTGGCCGGAACAGTGCCAAAGAAGGGACAAGGTCAGGATGGCTCTTGGGGGGGCGAAGGGGACACCTTGAGGCAGTACCAGGGTGTACTGGGCACGGGGACCAGGCAGCTCGGTGCCCTCTGCTCCTGAGGGCTCGGGTTTGGCCGGTTCCCCTGTGCCTGGGTCCCTCCAAACTGCTGGGGGATCCCAGTGGGAGCAGCACCTGCTGCTTGCAGCCCCCCAGCTCCAGGGGGAAATCTTTCCTGACCCAGACTCCCGGGGGACACCAGGAGTCCCCAGGGGCTGCAGGAGCCCCAGTGTGGCCGTGGCCTTACCCAGCCCCCCCGGCACTCACCAGCTTTCGCAGCAGCCTTGAGAGCCGCGGCCCCGGCGGCCCCTGGGAAGGCCCCCCCAGGGAAGGCAGCTCCTGGGAAGAGACCTGCAGCACCTGTGGGGAGAACCACCGGCGTGAGCATCCCCAAAAAGCAGCTGCCAGGAGGGTGTCCTGCGCTCCGTGGTGGGTGCAGAGCTGCGGGGGCTGCGTGGCGGTGCCAGGGCTGGCGTTAGGCTGGGCGAGGCGGTGGTTAGCGGGCACTGCCCTGTCCTGCATCACCCAAATTCCTGCTCCCACCTGCATCCCACCCATCGCAAACATCCCCCTGCAGTGGGTGCTGCCGCCCCTGCAGCCCTGGGTGGGCTGGCTGACCCCGTGCAGGCACTGTCCCTCTGCTGCAGCCCCCAGATTGCTCCTCGCCTTTGGGGTCACCCCGCTGTGGTTGATGCCGTGGTGTTGGGGGACCACAGGGCTGCCTGCTGGTGGCTGTAGGCCCTCAGGTCTGGGAAGGGACACCCAGGCAGGGTTTGGAGAGCTACGGAGATGGGGACAAGGGACATGCTGTCCCCAGGGCAGGTCTCTGGGGACATTGGTGCTCTGTGCTCACCTGGCTGCAGGCCAAGTGGGCCGAGTCCCCCCAGTCCTGCGACCCCTGGAAAGAAAAGCGGGTGGGCAGCCCAGAGGAGCAGAGGAGTCCCTGCTGCACCATTGCCATGGGATGGGAGCACACTCGGGGGATGGGCACAGCGACGGGTGACAAACGCCCTCGGCAGCAGCCGGGTCCTCCATCCCGTCCCTTTCTGCCTCAGCCACCCCCCACCCCGCCGGGCCACGAGGGGACGGAACCAAAATGTTTATGGCTGAGGAATGAGCCCCTGGGTCTCCGGCCAGCGCTGCCTTCCAACATCTGGGGCTCATCAGCCCTCGCTCCCTCCAGGCGCAAATTCCAGTGCCGCTGGCTCGGGGCGCGGACACCGCTCCGGCTGAGCCCTCGCGGCCGCCCCGCGTTTGGTTTTAATTACGCCGAAATAAAGGGCCTTGTTTTTCTTTCCACGAGCTGAAATCTGAGTAAACGGAGGTT